TATTTCAGTAGTCAAGTCTTTATTCCTTTTTAATATGGAGCAGTTAGTTCTTCAGCATTTTTTTTCATCTTTCATGATGGTTATTTCATAAAATGTTCCCCAGTATGGGTTTGGTTGATGTTTCCCCATGATTAGATTCAAGTGATATGTCCTTCTCAGGGTATCGCATCAGGAAGCACATGATCACTGATGAAAGTGTTGCCTAGGTTCTCCACTGTATAGTTACTATTTTCCCCTTCCAGCATATATACAATATGTGGGAAGGTACTCTGAAAAGAGGAGAATATGCTCCTTTTCATCAAGCTTTCCCCCTGGACTTAGACTCCATTGATGATGTTTCCCCAAACCGATCTCTTCTACAATAGTTGCAACTCCATCACTCTCTCTGTGTTTAATCATGGGCATTCTCTCTATTTAGGAACATCTTTCCCCTTTCCCCCATTTCTCTCTCTTACATTACTACAGACTCATGGATTTTATTTTATTCAGTGGAGCATAATTCATTACTGTTCTTATTTTGGTACTTGAGTTATACCAGATTTGGCCAATGAGAGGCCCTTTTAGACGACTCTTGTGGACATGCCCCCATTTTATTTTCTGAGCATTCCCTAATTCTGGCATTAAGATGTCTCATGTCATCTTGTACCTTCCTTCCCTAGTCCTCAAATCAGCTGTTCCTCTAAGAATCCCTGGTTACTTTCCATGGGGACAGGTATTTAGAAATCAAGATCTGGGCAGGGAACCTTTAAGGTTGAAGTTAGTTTTGATCATAAAATCAAGAGGAATATATATCGATTTTTACAAATCATCACACATATGGCTGATTTAGCTATGTCCTTTTTTCCTCTTTGTGGTAAGAAAAAAAGAAACTTTAGCTTGTTTTTTTGATTTTTCTTATTTACTTGAATTTAATTAGTTCTGGCTACAATTATTAGCAAAGAACACTCCCTGCCACAGTAACTATGGATTCTAAATGTCTAGATAGCTATTCAAATATAGTGTATCATCAAGAGAAATTTGTGATGGAAGACTGGATAGGTTTTGAAATACATACTATCACATAATCTGTAGAACCCTGAAGATAAGTGTAATGCAACATGGGACATTTCATTGAATTCATTTTAAAGACATTGAATCAACGCTCCATGAAATAACATTTTCTACAGTCAGATGCTTGTTGCAAAAGATGTTTTGCTTTGTATGGTGTTGTGATATGTTGGAAACTGCTGTGGTAACATCTCCTGTTATTATTTTTATTTGATGAAGGCAAATGAAGTATAAAATGTTTGAAATAAGTACATCAATTTCTATTTTAACTGAATGAAACTAAATATGTACTTTGTCTCTTGATAATACAGATCTTTCAACAATGATGTACTTTTCAAGTATTGACGATGAAATAAATAAATCATATTTATGTGTGATAGTACTAGGGGCAAAGACCAAATCCATTTGTTTGTTGCATGTATTTCTCATTGCATGGGAATCACCTGGGTCACTTTCTAAAAATCCAAATTCCTACATTCCTGAGCACCACCCTGGTCCATTTAAACAGCATATCTCACGATCTGGGAATCTGTATTTTTTAATTTTCCCCAGGTAATTCTGAGACATTTGATCATTAAACTGATTTATGAACTATTGAATGTGGCAAAAAATACATTTATACCAGGATGTAAGTCTCATTATATAAATAAGCTGCCCAAGGGCAGGAAATGTGCTTCTAAACTTTATAAGCTCGACACCTATTATGAGACTTGCATACAGTAGGCATTTAACATATGCTTATGAAAATAATTCTGACCTCAAATTTTATTGGAGTCTTAATACCTAGTTTGTGTAAGGAACGTAAACGTACCTTAGGGATATTCTATATTCATGTGAGAAGAACTACTTTGCACAGCAACCTGAAAGACAGTCCTGGATTGGTGGATTGATTTCTTTTATTAAAAACTTTTTTTTTAATGTTTGTTTATTTTTGAGAGACTGAGAGAGACAGAGCATGAGCATGGAGGAGCAGAGAAAGAGGGGGACAAAGAATCCAAAGCAGGCTCCAGGCTCTGAGCTGTCAGCACAGAGCCCAACACAGGGCTTGAACTCACAAACTGTGAGATCATGACCTGAGCAGAAGTCGGATGCTTAACCGACTAAGCCACCAAGGCACCTCGGTGGACTGACTTCTAATGCAGAAGTAGTTGTGCTCAGTTATAACCCTGAATTCTAACTTACTCTATGCTTCTGAAAAAAGATAAAGAATACTCCCATTTATGACTGATGTAATGTGTAAATTTTCTCTGTCTCGTTCCTCTTTCCACTAAATGTTCTACTTGTTGACAAAATGACTAGACAAAAAATAAAATAGTAGCTAACATTTGTACGATATCAAACTGCAGTTCTCCAAGTGTAGTCCCAGGACTCCTGGGGTTCCTGAAACCCTTTCTGGTGATCCATAAGGTCAAAACTTTTTGCCAGTAATATAAGGCGTAATTTGCCTTTATCACTCTCATTCTTGGAGGATACAGTTGGGGTTTTCCAGAGGCTACATCATATGTGTATCAAAAGAAATTAATGAAGAAAAGATACAAGAATTAGCTTCTTCTACAACCTGGATGTTAAAAAAATGTACAGGAGGGGACCCTGAGTGGCTCAGTGGGTTGGGCGTCTGACGTCAGCTCAGGTCATGAGCACCGCGTCGGTTCCGGGCTGACAGCTCCGACCCTGGAGCCCGCTTCAGATTCTGTCTCCCTCTGTCTGCCCCTCCGCTGCTTGCACTCTGTCTCTCGCATTGTCTCAAAAATAAATAAACATTAAAAAAAAAGAAAAAGAAAAAAATGTACAGCAATTTACAGGCTCTTCTATTTTTTTTGAAAATGTAGTTATTATTCATAAAAATGTTATTTATGTCAGCATACAATGGGTTTAATATTTAAAGAAAACTTTTTTAATGTTTATTTTTGAGAGAGAGGCAGAGGGTGAGCAGGGGAGGGGCAGAGAGAGAGGGAGACACAGAGTCTGAAGCAGGCTCCAGGCTCTGAGCTGTCAGCACAGAGCCCGATGCGGGGCTCAAACTCATGGACTGTGAGATTATGACCTGAGCCCGAGTCAGACACCCAACTGACTGAGCCACCCAGGTGCCCCAAGGTTTAATGTTTTTTAATGACTAAAATTAAAAATTTTTCAGTTTTAATTTCTAATGTGTTAAATATTGATAGGTATAGGGGCGCCTGGGTGGCGCAGTCGGTTAAGCATCCGA